ATTGTTGACATAACTTCAGTGGGAGGTGTTAGTAATGTCCTTTATCCTGCCTCTTTAAACTCACTATATGTCATAGCTTATTTTTAATAAAATAGTCTTACATCTGACTTTCTTGCTCTTGCAATGTGCATTTGGTGAAAATTTTGTACCACTCGTTTTCCAAAATTTAATCTGCACTCAGTGAACCCTATTTCCCATTGTCATACTTACTACTCTAATCTGTTGCTCTAAAATACCTATGCAGAAAGCTGGTATTAACATCTTTATAGACTTTTGCTCTATATCTTATTCAATATTTGTAGATATTTTTATGTTATTCTTATGTTCTTTAGTCAGTAAAGAATTTGAAACCACAAGTAAAAGAGTACACACTAATCCCAAAGCTTTCATAATGTCTAAAAATATCCTAACTATACAACAGGTACTTGTAAACATGTAATATATTGTATTTAACACCCTCTGTATTTCAATAGAGATGGATTTATAATTTAAAAACACAATAGTTCTTAGTTTATTTTTTCTGAATATTTTGTGTTTTTTAATAGGTGTATATGGATCACACCCTAAAAGACCTCTCCTCAGTACAGTAGTTAGTCAGCTTCCAAGATGTGAAATTCTGAACACTTTTTCTGGCTTCATAATCAAATTAATCTCTGTCTGACACTTATATGATTTAAAATATCTTCAAGGTGTTAGTCTCACTCTACTCAACACTATTATGGTTTTATTTGCGCTTGAAAGATATTTGTTTGCACCTTATAGAACTAATAAGACTAAGATTTGAAATGTAAGGTGTCAAAAACCCCATTTCATATAAACATTTTATTTAAAGATACTTCAAACTAGGAATTTTACTCACTATTTCTATGTCTTTTCTATATATCACAGAGTATCTTGAATTGACGAGTTGTCATTTTAACTTTTAATCGTGGATAATTCTGGACACACATGGATTTAAAGGCTCAAATTTTGACAGTTAGCTGTGAACACTGTTACTGATTGACTTATCTAAAATATTTCTGTTTCTAAGACTAAAGTATGATTGGTAAAAATAAATGGCTCATCTTTCCCTTTGATATATATATAATTCTCATGATAAAAATATTATGAAAATCAAATCCTATATTATGACAGTTAGTTTTATTGCATTTGCCAATCAAGTCTTAAGCTTCTGTTTTTGGTTTGCATTATACAGAATCACACTGCATCTCATCAGTGTAGTAAGGTTGAACAGCAGGGTTCACTTATATATTCTATTTCATAATTTTAAAAGGTTTCAATAAAAAATCACTGATAGCACTCAATGTTAAAAAACTGAATTCCATTCAGAAAATTTGAAAAGAAATGTTTTTTCTCTGCAGTGATTACCCACCTGTGAAAGGTGTAGATAGATATATTGATAACGGCCCTAGATAGTTTGATATTGGCCCACCAAGACGATAATTTCACTCTTTACTTATATCACGTCTCAATAAATTAGATAAATACCCTGAAATAAATCTGGATGATTATATTGATGACCTGTGAGATTTCAATACTTTATACCTTTTACTTTATCTATATTCAAGGTGTTTTTTAGGCTTGAGTTTTTAAGCTTGATAAAAAATGCTAGCCCAAAGCTTTGGCTGTTTATCCAACGTTTTTATTTACTCTGTTTCAAATTTTTTAGAGACATCAGCTAGTTAGTTACATAATTTTCATAACTTAATTAAATTATTTTTGGCGAAAGCTTTCATTGGGTATTTGATATGAATTTGACTACTTCATACTTTTTTTGTATTCTTTTTTAAAATGTTGGCAGAGTTACAGAGTTTAATGACAAAAGATTATTTTGAAATGGATTGACAGGAGATTAGGTGCAGACGGCAGATGTGTTATGTGTTTATTGTTGTATGCAATTGGCTGAATATGTCTTAATCAAAAATATCATGATAAAGTTTGCATCTTTATCCTCTATGCCATGGAAGTAGTTTTCAGATTTAGTCATGTTGACAACTTATAAAGGGAAATCTTTTCAAAGAGGCAATAAAAAGTTCCAGACATCTGCCTTTGTACTGGGTCACCATTTTATGGTATGGATTAGATTGCATAATGTCTGTTTAATAAATATCACAAATAATGTCAAAACTTGGTAATACAATAGTAGACAACCATAATAATGAATTATAGGGGAGAAGCATCTGCTAACTGCATTGAGTCATCATTTAAAATAAAAATTCAATATAATTTCAAATAAAAACGGAATAAAATAATATAATAAATTCTTCCAATGATTAAAACTAGGTTGGGCTGAAATGCCTTATCCCTTCCAAATCAACCAGATAAATTTCATGCAAAGAAAATTATAATATTTCATATTTCCTTAAGATAAAGGATTTAGAATTTATGTTAGTAAAATTCTGACGAACATTCTTAGCATAATGACAATAAACTTATAGTGTGTTTAGAAAGATTTTTTTGAGAGAAATTTAGCCCCAAGAACAAGTTTTTATAAAAAATGTTTATAATATGTATGCTTGAGGTGAAATTAATGAAATATTTTAGACCATGTAACTTGTCAAAATTAACTTGTTGATATCCAGATTTAGACTGTAATTTATTTACAATATGACATGATATATATATAATATTCATAATACAGTTTAAAATCTGTCAACAATTTATATCAGAGACTATTTCATTAGTCAAATTTTTTACCTAACATGTATTCAAGTGACATTTAAGTTGTGAGCTTATGACCCTAAGTCCAAAGCAAAAATTTAACAGCCGTACTCTTGGCTTACATACTCTCTTTATATGGGGGTCTATTTCATTATTTATTTAAAATTATTTTTCAAAATATTTTGGTCTATTAACAAACCTGTATTAACTGAGCTTTAAGCTTGTGAGCACCAAGACTCTTAATATGGGAGTTTTTTCATTAGTTAAAATTCAATATTTTGTTCTTATACCTAACATGTATTCAACTTGGCTCGTGACCCTAGGTCCAAAGACCGGAATTTGACAGCCATGCTCTTGGCTCACATATGAAGGCTATTTATAATTACTAGTCAAGATGAAATATATTTGTCTTTTAACCAAGTTAAGCTTGCGAGCCCAGAGTCCAACGACTTGAATTTTAAGTCCAATTAATAATATTTTGTTGCACTTGTTGGTCCAGAGAATACTCACTCATCCAGAGCACCTGATATTACTCTGCAACTGGGTTTATCAATTAAACATCTCTTTTATGTGCACCTAACATTACTATAATCAGATTCTGTCAAAAAATAAGAAAAAAAGAAAAATATTTCAAATTTGGGCTTCTGGAAAATTAATCTCCTAAAAACAAACATTAAATTGGTAAATTTGGATCTAAAAACAGAATTGATTGTCAGTTTCCCTGTAGATATTGAAGATTAAATTAAAAGTTATCTAACATTGCCTGTCACCAGTTGTTTTTATACTAGATAATTTGACGTTGAAATGTCATCTTGCGGAAGGCAATTTCTCTGTTTAATCTTATCTTTTCACAGGATGTGTTTTTTCTTGAATTATAATTGATTCTAGAAACTAATAACAGGATGAACCTTGCCACAGGACAAACATTAGATATCATTTTTTTAATATTGCTGAAATTACTTTAAGTATTAGATGTTATAGAAGATACTCTCCTATTGAAGCACTAGTCTAGGTCACAAGTATTAGATGTTATAGAAGATATTCTCCTATAACAGCACAAGTCTAGGTCACAAGTATTAGGTGTTATAGAAGATACTTTCCTATTGAAGCACTAGTCTAGGTCAAAAGTATTAGATGTTATAGAAGATATTCTCCTATAACAGCACAAGTCTAGGTCACAAGTATTAGGTGTTATAGAAGATACTTTCCTATTGAAGCACTAGTCTAGGTCACAAGTATTAGATGTTATAGAAGATAATCTCCTATTGAAGCACTAGTCTAGGTCACAAGTATTAGATGTTATAGAAGATACTCTCTTATAGAAATACTGGTCTAGGTCACAAGTATTAGGTGTTATAGAAGATACTCTCCTATAGAAGCACAAGTCTAGGTCACAAGTATTAGATGTTATAGAAGATAATTTCCTATTGAAGCACTAGTCTAGGTCACAAGTATTAGATGTTATAGAAGATACTCTCCTATTGAAGCACTAGTCTAGGTCACAAGTATTAGGTGTTATAGAAGATACTTTCCTATTGAAGCACTAGTCTAGGTCACAAGTATTAGGTGTTATAGAAGATACTCTCCTATAGAAGCACTAGTCTAGGTCACAAGTATTAGGTGTTATAGAAGATACTCTCCTATAGAAGCACTAGTCTAGGTCACAAGTATTAGGTGTTATAGAAGATAATTTCCTATTGAAGCACTAGTCTAGGTCACAAGTATTAGATGTTATAGAAGATACTCTCCTATAGAAGCACTAGTCTAGGTCACAAGTATTAGGTGTTATAGAAGATACTCTCCTATTGAAGCACTAGTCTAGGTCACAAGTATTAGGTGTTATAGAAGATACTCTCCTATAGAAACACTATTCTAGGTCACAAGTATTAGGCGTAATAGAAGATACTCTCCTAAAGAAATACTGGTCTAGGTCACAAGTATTAGGTGTTATAGAAGATACTCTCCTCTAGAAATACTGGTCTAGGTCACAAGTATTAGATATTATAGAAGATGCTCTCCTATAGAAACACTGGCCAAGGTTACAAGTATTAGGTGTTATAGAAGATACTCTCCTATTGAAGCACTAGTCTAGGTCACAAGTATTAGGTGTTATAGAAGATACTCTCCTATAGAAACACTATTCTAGGTCACAAGTATTAGGCGTAATAGAAGATACTCTCCTAAAGAAATACTGGTCTAGGTCACAAGTATTAGGTGTTATAGAAGATACTCTCCTATAGAAACATTGGTCTAGGTTACAAGTAACTTGTATTTCTACTATTTGAAACTTACTTATGATTTAAATTTCTATTTTTATGTTTTATTTTGTCTATTTTCAGAAAGATATACTTATAGAATACAAACCTTCCAAAGAATTTGGTGGCCATTTGTAAGTTTTTTTAAATACCTTAATTGAAATGAAACATGAAACATGAAACTTTCCTTTGTCAAAACTACAAATGGAAAGTATGAACTAAAACAACTATAGCGGTCTTGTGAATTTTCAAAATTTTATGATCCTATTAAGAAATGAAATGAAATGAATGGAGTTTTACGTCCTACTTTTCTGCACCATGTGGGCTAATGAAGACGGCATGATCCTATTAAGAAACTATGACAATATCCTGCAGAATAGCATGACTAAGCAGCAAAGTTAATCAAACATTTGGATGGTTTCCAACTGGAAGATCTGGAAGTGTTTATATTATTATTTAATATCAACTGTAATATATTATATAGTTTAGGAATAGTAAATGTCTTGTAGTGGGTTACAGATTGATATAAGCTTCGTCTTGTTTCTGAAACGATATTTTCCTATATTCATGTATTTATACATTGTAAATCATCATGTGTAAATTTTATTTAAATGATTTGTAATTTGTATTTTGCTTTCAGATATCGAGGAACAAGTGAATACAGTTGTCCTGTAGAAATAGTGTTCCAATATGTCGACCCGTTGCCAGGTGACGCTCCCAGATTAAAGTGGGATAAAGGAATCAAAAAGATTGAAATTTTAAAAACTATATCAGATGTGAGTACCATTTTTTAATCTAATAAGAAATGCAGACACCAATCCAACTTGCTGCAGATTCTGCTATACGGTGACAGCTACTATTTTTTCCAATCAGACATTTTTCAACTTTACTTCAATTTTTCTAACATGGAGAAGGTCTATCAGCTGTCCCTTGCTATAGGACTGATCTGTCATGTTAGATCAAAAATTCACAAAAGTTGCCCAGAGCATATGAACACTAAATACTGTATTAAACATGTTATGAATTGTGGAAGAGATTTAGAGTCAACCCACTCTCTCATTCATTACTTGTCTCAATAATACAAACACTATCTACAATATATATGACAGGGGATTCAAGCCTATGGTGCCTACTTGCATAAAGAAGGCCTAATGCTATTAGATTACAATTTACATGTCGGCTGAGAGGAAATGATCAGAGTAAATGATCACTCGAGGCTGATAAACTATAAACCTAGTAAACATCAATCAAATAACAGAAATAGCTATCCCACTGTAATCTATAATCTAATGAAATAAGGTGCCTACAGCAAGTGCATACAGGGTGCAGTAAAAATGATAAAAACCTGCAGTGATTAATCATGATAATTAGGAAATGAGTGCTAATTAGCTGATTAGTACATTATGATTATTAGAGATTAAATTGAATTATATATGTAATAGAATTATACCCCAGTACATCTTCATAATGATGAAGTTCATAATACCTTGACATTGTTAACATGACCCAAGTAAGAACATACTCAAAGGCATTTAGCGATCGGAAAGCGCATCATTGTCAGCACACTATTTCCAGTCTCCCCTTCCCTAATCCTTTTGATATGTTATTTATTATCACTAAAGATTATTAGTGACAAAACAAATGTGATAAGATAAATTATTACAATTAATGCTGTCATCCACTGATCAATTCTTGTCCTTGCCCCCTCCCCCCTACCCCCACATCCCTTCCCCCCACACCCCTTCCCCCCCACATCACTTCCCTCTCCCACCCAAACACACTTCATCGATCCATTCTTCATATTATTTATTATCACTAAAGGTTATTGAGGATAAAACCATGTGATAAGATGAATTATTACATATAAAACTGTGATAAACTTTGTTAATAAAAACCAGTAAATTGTGATAAAGTTAGAATCATAAAATATCATCTACTTAACTTACGTCATGCAGAATAAACCTTTTTATTTTATCAATTTCAGATATTATACTTTTTATACAACTGTTAAAATATAACCTTATTTTAATGTATTTAAAGGCATAATTTTATATTTTATCAAATTCAGATATTATACTTTTTATAAAACTATCAGGCTGATATCTTTTCATTCATTTGGCCAAGCATACTTTAGTCTCAGAAAAGGGGATTTTTTAGCTAAGCTAATCAGTAGTGGTGTTCACATCTCACCATCAACATCTGAGCCTACAAAGTAGAGGTCAACAATTAATAAGGGATTTAATCTTCTAAATATTATCCTTACTTGCTCATGAAACTTAATTTTTCAACCATTGATATCCATTTGTGGAATGAAAATTAATTTCATTTAAATCAAAACTATGATTGTCATAAAAATGTGCTTATGTCAAACATGAGGGCAGTTATACCATACCTTGTAGCAAACATTTTACCCGAGTCCTACCATGTCACAGTGGGGTATGAAAGGGGGAAGGGGGTGTTTGGTATGGTTATAGAGATTGATGAGATTTGTATAGATTTGTAGTCTGGCAGGAAATGTACCAGTAACTCTGAACTCTGATTAAGTACCTGAGTAGGTATACCATATTAGAACATTTTATCTTATAGCAAACCCTTTACCTGAACCCTACCATTGATAATGTGTGACTGTTTCAGAATTTATCACAAATTTTAGCCAAATATAGTAGTTCATATCTTTATTTTATCTTAGTTGAAGTACCGGTCAACACTAGGATTGGTCGGGCTAACTGATTACATACATTCAAATTTATTTTCGGATAATTTCAAATTTAGATTTCTTAATATATCACGCTTATGTACTCTCACCTATTTCTAAACATTGCAAAAATTATCTAAAATGGATGTGTTATTGTGTAAGCGCTCTGAGAACAGTTCAAATTCTGGTCAATCTCTGAACCGACTTGATAAATTCATGTAATAGTGGTTGGGAGTAAAAGGGGCTTATGACATCTAAATTTGTTCATCGCACTTGTCCAAATGCCTAATATAGTCTTAAATAAGTTTACAGTCAGATAAACTCATAATTTAGATCTTAATTTCTCCTTCTTCTCTACCCACGTCCATATAAGATTTTATTGGCCTAATCTAGTGTTAAATAAGTTTACAGTCAGATAAATTCAAATTTCGATATCTTTATTTCTCATACTTCTGAATTGATAACTATTTCTATAAGTCCTAAAGTGATAATGATATCTAAAATTGTTCATCACACTTGATCAGTTGTTACTAGGAGGTTATTTTAAACTTTTATCAGCCTATTATAGCCATAATTCAGTTTATATCTGTAGATTTTAAGTCTTGTATTAAAAAGTACCACCAATGTTACAGATTACGAGTTATTTTTGTGGGTTTTGTTATCTGTTGTTGATAAAAGTAGCAATTTAAGACAAAAATAGTCATCAACATCTAGTGCTCTTCAAGTTTAAGGTTTTAGGCGAGCCAGTGTCAAACATTCTGAAACTGAATTTAGTTTTCAATTGTTTTGAATCAATCATCAACACTAATCTTAATGATGACATAACCCTTGATCCAATTCCCTGCACCTCTTTCACCTCTTACTCAACTCTAGTGTATTTCTGACATCAATAAACAAGAAGATGAAATCTGTACAGTATTATGTGAGTTACATCCTGCAGCAGGAAATAGTCATACCCAGATAGTTAACTTATTTATGAGAAATTCTGTAATAATAATAGGGATTGTAGAGAGGTTTTGTAAAGAATTTATTGTATAGGGGACAATGATAGCATCAATTAGCTGTGGTTCCTGCAATTCCTAAGCGTTTGAAGATGTCACTAATCGCTTAGGGCATTATGTAAAACAAGCATATTTGCAATTAGTGACTTCATCAAACGCTTAGTTTTATTTTGCTGAAATTTGGAATGGTGCAAATTGATGCTATTAGTGTCCCTGATACACATAAAAATTCTTAAAAAAAACCTTTACAATCCCTTTAAAGATAGATACTTCTATATAATTATAATTCTTTATTGTATTCATTATATTCCTGATGACAATGAGAGTGTGAGAACCACAGTAATAAATATTCTAGAAATATCTCTCTATAGTAATTCTCTTATTTATTTTTAAATGGTTATTGTTGTCTAAAAACTTATTATTTCAATTAATTGAGACTGGAAATATAACTAACAGCTTATCTACAATTAACCAAAAATTGTTGCAGGTATATAGGAAAGATCCCAAGTAGCTAAAGCTGTGAATCATTTGTTCATTTTTGTGTTTTTCAGTCACAATGATATATAATAAACATTAGGTTAAATTTGTCGCTTATAACTTTGTTAAAAGCGTTCTAATAATCAATTTTTTTTTTTTATCAGTACCCGAAGCAGGGCTATTGATTTATTTTTTTGCCAACCAGACATTTTTCAACGACCTTAAAAGGGTCCTAAAGTTTCATAGTTATCTCTGCTTTTAGGCTATACCATATTTTTGTTCATAGTTTATATATTGCCATGAACATCCACTCTGATGTTATAAACTGAAGTTTCTATTATTATATATTAGAGGTTATAGATAGCTCTAAGAGTAATGTTAATTATATTATTATACTAATGTTCCTCATGATTCTCAACATAAAACAATCTTCAAGAGTTCATTATTTTTAAAAACTTTATCATCTCAATGAACATAAGTGTCCCACTACAAAACACCTATTATAAATATCATTTTGGCATTTGGATTTTCAGGACATGAAAGAGTTAATGGCAAATTAGAAAAAAAAGATTTTTGTATAAAAACCAAGAATAGTGTTTAAATACACTCGAACTCAGGACAAATAAAAAACAGAAAAGAAACAACATTTTTTATTACAAGAATAACAACTTTTGAGGATACTTTCTAACAGCTGAACTTTGACTCCTTTTGGTGAAGATTATGTGCCACTTGCCCTTTTTGAACAGAAAAAGATGACTTAATCAAGACCAAAAAACTTGTACCACCCAGATATTTCAGAACACTCTTTCAGATATAGATATAACTGAGTAATTCATCCACTTCAGCAAGTCTGTTATCTGTTTCACTTTGAAATCATTCTTCTGAAATCAGGATGCTTTCTTTCAGCCTCCAGACTATTCTGACATTTAGCATCTCTTTGGTGCCATTATCTGTAATATCTTTGATGTCATGTCTGCGAGGCGGAGATTCCATTATCTCCAGGAATCCTGAAATTATTCCTTATAATTACTCATATTACTTGAAGAATGAAAAGAACTCTTCTATATTGGAGGTATAAAATGTCAGATATGAGACAGGTGCCCTGTGGGGACTATATAGAATCAAACAGTAACTTGTATTGATAAAGATCAGATATTTTATAAAAACATCACTGATATATAATCCTAGGCCTTGTTTTTAATAAAGCTTTTATAGCTAGTTTTGAAAATACCTTCTGCTTATTTACTCAGAAAAGACTGGCAAATATGTTAGAAACCAGAGTCTAGAGCTGTATTCAGACGTGATTGGTAAATACAGCCAAATTAAGAGTCTAGAGCTGTATTCAGATGTGATTGGTAAATACAGCCAAATTAAGAGTCTAGAGCTTTAGTCAGACGTGACTGGTAAATACAGCCAAATTAAGAGCCTAGAGCTCTATTCAGACAAGACTGGTACATACAGCCAAATTAAGAGTCTAGAGCTCTAGTCAGACATGACTGATAAATACAGCCAAAACAATAGTGCACAACTCTAGGCAGACATGATTCGTAAATACAGTCAAATTAACCATCTATATAGCTCTAATCAGACATGACTGGTGAATTATACCAGCAGAATATCATATCATGACAGCAGAGAGCATATTCATGTCTGACAAATACTGAATTGAGAACCCTGTCTCATACAAAGGTTGATATTCTGCAGCACAATGATAAGAATATAAAATATGCTCAGGGGAAAAAAGAATACCAAATAACACATGGAGAATACAAACAATGGGAGATATTTTAGATGCCTGAATTCTAACACAGAAAAATTACCATTCTTAACATATCTATTACTCTCGAAAATATTACATGGTTGGTTTAATATACCCTACTATTCTTAACATATCTATTCCTCTCGAAAATATTACATGGTTAGTTTAATGTACCCTATCATTCTTACATATCTATTCCTCTCGAAAATATTACATGGTTGGTTTAATATACCCTACCATTCTTAACATATCTATTCCTCTCGAAAATATTACATGGTTAGTTTAATGCACCCTATCATTCTTAACATATCTATTCCTCTCGAAAATATTACATGGTTAGTTTAATGTACCCTATCATTCTTAACATATCTATTCCTCTCGAAAATATTACATGGTTAGTTTAATATACCCTACCATTCTTAACATATCTATTCCTCTCGAAAATATTACATGGTTAGTTTAATGTACCCTATCATTCTTAACATATCTATTACTCTCGAAAATATTACATGGTAGGTTCAATATACCCAACCATTCTTAACAAATCTATTACTCTCGAAAATATTACATGGTTAGTTTAATATACCCTACCATTCTTAACATATCTATTCCTCTCGAAAATATTACATGGTTAGTACCCTATCATTCCTAGATATCTATAAAGGTAGAAAATGGCTTGTTTGTTATGCCCCCTTCTGTCAGTTCTGTAGAAGGAACTACATGTATGCTATTGTTTTTTTATAAAAGAAGTCCACTGTCACTTTATTTCATTTTAACTATAGATACAAGATCACGAAAACAAGGGGTAAAAATTAAAACTGGATACAAACTCATACATGTGTACAGGTCAGGAAAAAAAATCTGGAGATTTGCCTTGAAAAATCTGGAGATTAGGTGAAAAGTCGGGAGATTTTTCCAAAGCGCGTAAATTCGTGATTTGAAACTCCAAATTGATTCTTTTTTTCTTTTTTTTTTTCAAATAAGCTTTAAGCCTTGTAAGTTAATTAAAATGATCATAGGTCTAGATGACATAGTTAAAATTAACAATCTATAATGATGGATAATTCTAGAAAAAGTGCCTGATATTTCAAATTTAGGGGCCCAAAAAAAATTTGATATTATCATTCTTCAGTATTGATTGAATCAAAAATAATGTCAAGGTGAAATGATGTTTGAAAACAAGAAAGCAAGCATGATACCGGTAGGCCTACATGTAATACCAGTATTAAAAATCAGTATGTTCTGAAAGCAATATTTAGTAAATAATATGTACTGACAATGTTACTTTTTCCAAAGGTGTAATTCATGACATCTTAAATATCTCAAGTGCGATCATTAAATACTTTTCCTGCAACACTCTCACGAAGTATTGAACTGAATTTTCCGCTTCCATTTTGACGTTCTTCGGAAATTCAGACGTTCTTCAAAAATTTAGTTTGTGTTCCGACGGATAGTTTGTAACAAACTAAATTTTTCAAAAGGGTTAAAAACTTTCTAGGGAATTTTTAGGAAAGTGAATGGATAAATTGATGACAATGTACATCCACTTAGATCTCAGTGTGTAAAAATTAAAGTTAATAAATTTATAAGAAATGCATAAGAAGAAAATATAAGATAGAAATGTGAGTAAAGTTAATATAATAAATACAGTGAACCACCCATGACTTTACTCTTTATAACTCATACATTTAAATTATTCCCTTTTTATTGAAATAGATTTCTTTTTATTAGCTTCATTTACTCAATTAGATTCAATATCTATTCAAAATATAAACCATGTTTTTAATTGACCACCTAGGGTGTTGTTGATTTTACTGTTTTTTTTATGCTGTGAGCTAATATTGAAGTTTAATAATGTTCTCTAATAAAGAGATTTTACTGAATGAAATGGTGATATACTTCAAGGCCTTTTATCCTCCCTGTCAAACAACACCTCTGACTTGTATCACAGACAGGGGGAATTTAAACAGGTTTTCTCTTGAGCCTTTGAATATTTTTATCAAGGGCATTAACAGCTTTTATTTAAACCATTCTGATCAAGTTTTCACAGGAAAGGGATATCTAAATGGTGTAAAATTTAAAGTGTTCTAAATATACAAAGACTAGAAAATTAGAATGGTGTAAACAGAAGCTATTATAAGTGTCTCCGATACATATAAAGGCTAGAAAACCTCCAAAAAATGTCTGTTAAAAATATTGTCATATGAACTAGGTGTATCCAAGTATAAAATGTGGTGTTTTTATCAGCTTTTATTAAAGGTTGTTTATAATAGGTGCAATATTCTTTCAACAAGGTGTAGTAATATTAAAATAGCTGATTGTATAGTCATACTGTAATACCTTCAAACAACTGTTATTGAAACCCCATTATGATGTTTACCGTCATGGGAGTTGCTCATCCTTGCAGAACTTCAATCTGTTTTTGCAGAGTTTGCTAATTTTATACTGGAAATTAAATTAACACAGTGATATCAGTTGTGTTTGTATTAATCATATAGTGGGTGTGGAGAGTAGGGGCAACAGAGTTGTCAAGGGCAACTCTAAGATAATTATTACCCTATGTTAAATGCTAAGAAAGTTATAATTCAGGGGGTGAAGAGTCAAAACTGAGCCAGCATAATATAATAAGAAAAAAATAATATGTTTTAGATATAGATACAATTTTAATTTATCTCTAATGTCTCTCAAGCAGAATGTTGTGTATTTGAATATATTATACATAACTCTTTTTTATACTCATAAACTCAGATAAATAAATAATTAATAATATTAATAATAATACAGACAATTCAATAGATTATGTCTAGGTCTCGTGTAGTACATGTTATTGCATTTAATAACCTTAATTGAATCATTGTCCCAAGGATATGGAACACTGTGTCTGTCTGCTAGGTATTTAGATGTCATAATAAGAACCCCCCTTGGGACAAACAGGAATGTCTGACGCTACAATTCATGTTTTATGTCAATTAGTAAGAATCAAGAACTTATATGAACCTATTAGCTTTTAATTTTTTTTGAATTTGAGCTCCACATGACCACATAGCTAATAATATTAATGTAGTATCTGTATATGTGAATGTACCACCACTTTCAGAGAGTCTTATAATATCTATTTGGTGTCTGGATTTGTGGACTAACATAGTATACAATAGCTATTACTGTTTATTTAATATTTTATTCTAATATATATTTCAGGATGTAAGAATTAACAGAGTATGTACAGACAGTGCCTGTATGGGGATGATTTCTCCGAGAGATTTCGTTGATGTTATTTTAAATAAAAAGACTGAAGATGGCATGTCTACCAATGGTACATTTTAAGATCTGTATTTTACATGAATCAGAATTAGGTCCAATACACCAAAGTATTATTGTTCTGTCTGAATTCAAACTATGGGATGAACATAGAATCTTTATTATATCGAAAGTGACATGGTCTGGTCTAAGGATTTGTTCACACTACAAGCAGAGCAAGACTGCACAGAGAAGGGTATAGCGGGGCAATGCGGTCAGGCGTTTACATATAAGCGGGGCAGGGCAATCTGAAAACAATTGTTACTTGTAGTTATTACTGACTTTGTGCCTTCAATGATCTGACATGACTTGGTTTGTACCCCCAATGTACCCCCAAATTATTTTCAACAAATCTAAATGTCTACCTTTTTTTTCCAAAATATGTGTCAGATTGCACAAAATCAATTCATTTTTTTCTAAAATTTTCTTGAGAGAACCCTCTAAGACGCTCTATGAGAGACTTGTGACTATAACACTACCACAGAGTAGCCAAAATTTGAATTCAGCCTCAGCAGTTGTCCCCCCATTGAGTCAGTCTGCCCCCTATTTGTACCCCCCCGTCTCGGAAGGCTGGCACCACCACTGATAACTTTCAAATGATAAGTTTTACGCCTATTTAAAACCTTTGAATATTTTTAACCAATTATATTTCTAATATTTTCAGGAGTGAGTATAGATTATGCAGAATGTCCTGTTGATAAAAAATATGTTCGAGGTTGGAATCACCATTGTGGTCTGATCTGTATGAATATACCAGAGTAAGTTCCCTTGTTATGACACCCTCGCTTTTCAAAATGCATGGCTGTGCTATTATATAATTGCTTGTGAAGTAATGTGGACTAAAATTGGCTATCTCAGCAGGCAAAACCAATGAGAAGATAACTAAATGCCTGTAGAATGCTCTATGTTATACCAGACATACATCTCTGAAGAGGTTCCCCAGTAGTAACTGTAACTTAGCTATAATGGTAGAACTTCTACCTAAATTCCTGTCATATTAATGGCATTTCTAGCCTATTCATATTCATTAAGAACACTTGTAGCTTCTGTTTGGCTTGAATGATGTTTGCAATAGTGTTGTTGTAATTTTGTCAAAGTTTTCTAGAATGATAGGGATGACTGGCTTGATTTGAAATCGTGGGCTTTGCAAAGGCAAGCATTACACTCCCCATGTATGAATATTTGAATTTTGATTCTAAAAATCCAATTTAGACTCCCAACTTTTTGGTGGCTCTGCCTTGTCTTGAGTTATATGAAGAAGCTAACAGTCTCTCATCGCCACACACATGGGAGCCGCGGTGGCTCAGTGAGTTAGATGCTCGCTAACCTGAAGGTCCAGGGTTCAATCCCAGCATATGTCGAGATAATACCTTCGGATTTTTACCTGGTTTCCCCCTGTCAGTGATGCAGGTACGAGGGTCTGACATGGAAAAAGCGTCTAGTTGTTCGGATGGGACAATAAACCGAGGCCTCGTGTGCTACAGGCTGTGCATGTTAAAGATCCCTCGACAGTTGGAAATCGATAAAGAGCAGGCTAATGCCGCTGTCCTGGCAAAATTTCCCTCATTGCACCCTGCATGGCGTTGCCTGTCTTCATTAGCCCACATGGTGCAGAAAAGTAGGACGTAAAACTCATTTACTCATTTTATTTCCTCCCCGCACAGAAATACAATTCTTTTGGATGCCTTTCACATATTTGTCTCATGTATATTACAGTAAACCAGGCCATACCAAGTTAGTGAGTTTAATACAACCTGATATAAAGGGCATGCTACCCCGGGCCCTCGTCGACCAAGCTATCCCAGGATCAATGACTGAATTCTTTGCCAATCTACGTCAGTGTTTGAAGGATGATGGGAAACTTCAATAATTAACGTCAAAATTTTAGTCTTTTTCATTAGAAATTTTAATTCAAATTTATTCATGAATGTATATGACATGGAAGCTACTCAAAAAAAAGGAAGGAAAATTCAAAAAATTTTATTTTTTTATTTAGCTAAGTTTAGACCAACAGGAATTTATTTGCACTGTAAACTGTAGCTGAGGAATACATATTAGCCTATCTCAAGTGACTGCTGATCTTACTTTTATCAGAAACAATTTCATTTCTCCATTTTATTTCATTTCTTTTCATTTTATTTCATTCTAAAATATTGCTCATTTCAAATGACAATAGCCTACATTTATGTATTTCTTTTTTCTCAATTGGATTTAAATGCAGAACCAGATGTTTCCAACTATTTTTTCCAACTAGTTTTTCTGTGGGCAGTTGGAGTCATTTACAGAAAGAAAACTAAACTGTTACCAGAGATTTCCCAGATATACTGGAGTGCGCGTTATACATGCTTGTGCATTATATTCGGAAATATACAGTACTGTCACAACAAGTTTGTTTGTGTATCAAATTTTGCCCATTTTGTTAATGTATGCTTATGTTTTATTAATGCAACTAACTGTGCTATGTTGAAGGAGAGATTCAAATTCTTATTACAAAATAGGGTAAAATTTGATACCCTAAGAACTTGCAGTAGCAAGATCTAGCTGTATTCTGTATTTAAATCTGATTAAAATTTTGTAAATATTTTAACTGCTATGATTAAGTTTCACTTAAAACTATATTATGCCATTCTTTCTCTGTATGTTAGCTGCCATCTTAGATGCCTATATTTACTCAAAACAAGGCACACAGTAAACACTGAAAATTATCTTCATTGATTCACCTATACCCTTTATATTAGTTAAAAACATTTTTCCAATATGATTGAAGGGAAATAACTCTTGTTTAGCTTTAGATATAGTCAGACTACAAATACATCAATGATTCCGTATTTTAGATAATTTAGTTTGTTAATGATTTTTATGTAATTAATTGTAATTATTAATGTATTAATTGTTAGTGTTTTGTATTCTGTTAGTGCTTTGATGCTTTTTGAACACATTTTTAATTTCATTCAATATTCCTTAAAGCATAGTGCACTGTCATTCAAAGTTGTTGTGCTCTAAATAAGGCATATTTCCATTAATTTCGATTTGGGAACCGATGTTTTTATACTTATTTCTCACTTCTTTATTTGTCATTTTATTTGACTTGTTTAACCTACTGTACAAACAATACTATCTCACTGGGGGATATACCTATATGCCTTTGACCATACTTTCGTAGCAATGCTTAACCACAATGGTGGAATGCACAATGTCTAGACATGGAAATCGTTCTTAAAGTAAAAAGAAACTCCACCCCCTGTTGGCAGTGTTGATTAGATCAGAAAGTAGTGATCAAATTGGCAGATGAGGAAAACTAGTCTATGATATCATCTCGGAAACAGTAACGATAGTCTTCAGAAAAATGTGTCCCTAAATGAATAACAACAAGTTTTACAAAGGAAAATTGAACAAAGAAATTTATTGAAATTAAAAATGTGTTCCCTGAAATAGTAACAATGATTCTGTGATTCCTTTGCTCAATAGTAGAATATTTTATAATTATTGTAATCTAACGTTAATTGTATAGAGTTGTAGGCGAAAAGAAAAGGACGCCAAGTAAGCTTACAATTCCCAGAGGTATTGAATGTAGGGTTTTGGGGGTGATGATGTTTTGGTACCTGTAGCTGAAAAATTCACTTTGGAAATTTAATTTAATTATTTATTTTAAATCCACCCAAACATCCATCATCTCTTGCATCATTTGAACTTGGATTGAAGTTTATCCTTGCCCCCTCTTATACAATGTCTAACTACCTTGTTATCTACAACTCTAAATCAAGTGAAAATAAAACTGGTTCGTAGCTGACAGACATTATAGATTTTTTCTATGTTGTTTTTGTAATGAAGTAAATTTTGTCTGTATCTAGTCTACCAATAAACATATAATCAGAAATATTCTCTTCTGTTATAGTTTTATAACAAGTCGTAGGCTGAGTTTAAACTGTTGTTAGGGTCGTGATTTTAACAGGGAGTAGGCTACAAATGGAGGGGTTGTGCGTCCTGTCATACAGTTCATGATTTAAACAAGGGGAGGGTGGAGGGTGGGGAAGATGAAGTAGCCCTGTCACACAGTCAATGATTTAAACAAGGGGAAGGCTAGGTGTTGAGGGAGGGGAAGTCCTGTCGCAGAATGATTTTAACAGGGAATAGGCTAAAGGTGAAGAGGAGATGCAGTGATGTTTCTATGATTCAACAAGAAGATGTTGGGGAAATATGGGCCACCGAATCAATACGGAGAGGGTGGTGCTCATAGCAATTATTTTCTTTCAAATTTGAAATTGGGTGCTCAAAGCCGCTCTAGCTTCAATTGTGCCGATTAACCACCAAATGCAGAAATACCAGTGTGTTATGATAGTGGGTGAGCATCTGAACCTCACCACAATAGTTTTTCATTAAGTTTCATTGTGGTGATAGATGACAAGCATTCGTTTCAGGTAATTGATATCGTAACAGCATCATGATATTCCTATATATTATTATATTGACTAAGACTAGCATCCTGTTGCTAGGTTGGTAACTAATGTAAATATTGCATGAGTTGTAATGTGGAGTTTGTTTTTCAACATCATCGTTCACTCAGATCAATACAATTATATCGGTTTGATTCCTCATTGAAATTTGATTGTAAAATCAATCAGGATCGATTAGGGGTGAAAATAGGTCGGTGTTGAAACATTGATTGGTAGGATAGACAATCTAGGCTAGTATATAGATTTACTTAGAGGGACAGATTCGCCATCCGTCTGACCAATCATACATTGGTCTCCAGGGAGGGAGTTGAAGAATGATACTACTAGGGCTTCCTCTCTATTTGCTGTAATATTTTCTACAAGTTAGACCTCCAACTACCCTAGCAGCGGTGGCGTTTCATGTAAAATGAAAAAAAAAATTGAAAGTGGGGGAAAGTAGAAACGCCACTGCCTAGCCGTCGAAAATAATGGAGAAGTCAACTTGTGGATCTGCATTTTATTCAGATAAACAATAAATATCAATATATTTTAAATTTAGAATCACTTGTTAATCTAACCCTGGGGGACATCAATCGACAATCTTTCCTTCTATTTTCTACTGTATCGATAATTCCGCACCGTACACCGCACATCGTACATCGTCTATTCCAACTTTTAGAGAGCAAATCTAAGAAGGTTTCCATGGTTGAATCCTGCAACGTCTTTTCTCCATATTTCTCTAGATACGTCATACGTTGCTTGCCTGTATTATGACGTCATAATGGTCATTATTAGTTTTTTTATTCACTTCTAATGTCACGTTTTTCTTTTCTTTTTCAAAAATCATGTAAAAATTCTAAAAATACTTGAAAGGTTCGCTATTGGGCGGAGTTCTGTTCATTAGCAGGTAAGAATTTATTTTATAATAATGATTTGTGTTTGATATTTCTGAAAACCATTATCAAGACCAACCGAAAACCTGGACAGACCACAGGCACTTACGACTTGACTTTAATTGATGAGGGGCGCCAAGTCGTAGGGCCTGTGGGACAGAGCCAACTTGTTCGTAGTCAAAGAAAATAACTTCCAATCGGCTTCAGGTAGTACAGACAAAGTTGTTCGCCAAGAGCATCACGTCATATCACATCCTTCGGGACTTCTTTTTACTTTTCTATCTCACGAAACAAATAAAGCTACTCTATAGTAGATATACTTATTACTAGAATACTAACGTGGACTTAGTAGTTTGTTCTGCTGGGAATCAGCGGGAACGAAATACTGGAATATTGGATTATTGAACCTTTAGATCTTAATGGGTATATGCGGTAAGAATTTGCTTCCTTTTCCAATGTGTTTTCACATACAAAATATCTTGTTTAATTTACTAGAACGCGGTGACTCGATGAGTTGGACGGATGCCAGCTAACCCTGAAGCGATCCTGATACTTTCCGATTTCTCAACCTAGTTTCCGCCTGTCATTAATGCAAGTTGGATAGACTTTCATGGTAACAGGGAGCCGCGGTGGCTCGGTGAGACAGTTTTTTGTAGTCAGAATGATTGTGTTCGGTTCAATGACAGTTTTCTGTAGTTATGCGGTTCAATGACAGTTTTCTGTAGTCAGAATGATTGTGTTCGGTTCAATGACAGTTTTCTGTAGTCAGAATGATTGTGTTCGGTTCAATGGCAGCTTTCTGTAGTTAGAATGATTGTGTTCGGTTCAATGACAGTTTTCTGTAGTCAGAATGATTGTGTTCGGTTCAGTGGCAGCTTTCTGTAGTCAGAATGATTGTGTTCGGTTCAATGACAGTTTTCTGTAGCTATGAGGGGGTTGTCTATTGACTGTTGGTGCCACGGCTATCCGAAGTGGACATGACAAATATGCATCCTTACATAGATTTTCTTTAACTAACGACCATAATTTGTTTTGCTATGGTAGCTCTGAACGAGAGGGAAAGCTTTTCAAGCTAGACGCCCCTCTCCTCGTCAAATTTAATTCATTCACTCATGCATTCATCCACATCCTTCACCTTCACCCGTATCCCAGCAGGAACTGACATGAAAAGATATAATGTTGACAGTATGGTTGCTAGGACAATGGGACTGAGAGATGTTGTGTTGTTAATGGAAGTTGTGACAACCATTTATAAATCCATCATAACAAACGTGTTTTATCGATTCTTCTTCATCTTTTACTTCATCATTTCATATTTACATCTCCTGACTTAAGGATTAATTTCGTATTTTGGTAAGTTACTTCATTAAATTTCGGTATAGGTTGAGTGAGAGGAGGGGTAGCCTAATTAACTAATTGAGCACATCATGGGCAAATCGAAGTCATTATCCTTGATGTCATCATTTTGATATTAATATCCCAGGATTTAGGACTAATTTCGTACTAAGTAGGATACTTAAGAGCACATCATAGACAAATCAAATTCGTTATCCTCATCATTCGATATTTACATCTAGTTCTAGATTAATTGTATATTTTGGTAGTTATTCAATAAAATTTTGATAAAGTGGGGGGAAATGTACTATTTAGACCAGGAGTTTTCAACAAGGGGGTAATTATCCTCAAAGGGGTAATTTTTGACATTTTTCAGGGGAATAGCGATGCTTTGTAGTCTTGCATAAATCAAGGACCCTTAAAAGGATACTAGATAAAAGGTTGAAAACCCCTGATTCAGGTGGATAGTCTATTGAGAAGAGCTCTATATCATGAACAAATCAACTTCATAATCCTCGTCGTTTTATAATAACATTAGTTCTAGAGTTAATTCCCTATTCTGGAAAGATATCTTTGATAACTTTGGTAAGACTTGCTGGCTTTTTACTTCATTGTTTATTAATACTAATTTTTAAGCGATATTTAGGGGTAGAGATCACATTAAATAACGGAACACAATTTTATGGTATACTACTCCTTAGTTTTATTACAGATTTTATGACAGATTGTTGAAACGTTGTGTGTAATAAAACTAAGGAGTAGTAAACCATAAAATTGTGTTCCGTTATTTATTAATACTATATAAAACTCTTGTAGTTTTATCTTAAAGGTATTTTAAAGATGTTTTTTTTTAATTTCTGTGTATGTATATCGGGAACACTGACAGCATTAACTTGCACCATTTCAATTTCCAATCAGACGACTGTGGTTCCTGCAATTCCACTTAAAATGAGTTTTTCATGCTGTCACTAATCCCTTCGTTTACAATTCCTTTAAATGTCATCCGCCAAGTAGAAAAAAAATATTATTTAGTTAAGAGAAAGTAACAAGATGCTTATATAATATGTGAGAAATGTAGGCGAGATTATCGTGATGTATGTCATTAAGTAACATATTGATCGCGTCAACTAGTTTTGATTTATTAGTCATATCATTTCCTTCTATAATAGACTGGAGCCTAATCGGAAATTAAAAGGGATATATCCATCTAAATATCTATTTATCAAATGGTAGAAGTGGGTTTAACCACAAATACCACCTTTTCAGAGTTAAAGTTCGGTGTAATTAAGAAAGATACGATTAGCAAAGGAAATGTCTTCTTTATATGGTTGCTTTACAGCCAGAAAGAACTGAATTTCAACTCTGTACCCCTTTTTAGAATTGAAATACGTCTGGTTATTGTGTTATTGGCTCAAACTTACAAATCTGTGTTCACTTCCAGAGACTTTCATGCTCACCGACACTGGGTCCATGTAAGCTTAAACATGATATCAGTTATTTCATTCAAAATTAAGACTTCACTATCGTAAATACCATTCAAGCCAACAAGCATCTTAATGTCAAACTACGTGTATTACAAACTTCGTCTAATACCTTGACTCCAATAGCCACCTTTTCTATCATAAATGCAACGGTTTGATTGGATTGTTCGCTAGTGAATACAGCCAATCAGAGTCTGTGAACATAAGGCCATAATGCCTCTCGCGAGGGCCGTGATTGGCTGTATTCGCTGGCATACAATCCAATCTAATTACTGCATATCATAATACAAGAAAGATGGCTATTGCAGTCAAGGAATGAGTTCGAAATTGTGACATTGTCAAGACGGTCAACCAGGGACTACTAACTGTTGGATATTAATGATCCGAATAAGAGTCTATTATTCCTTTAAATTATAAATAAGGACTAGAATACTGATAGAGGATTATAACTATTATAATAAACTTAACCAGTAGAGAGAGATCGATATGACTGATTGGTTATTATCAATAATATTCGATCTGTATAGATACTATAGGTACCTTAACGATTTCATTGTTACAAATTAATTACAAGGCGGGGTAGTTTAATACAGTATTATATTTCAATATTTCAATCGCAGTATGTACTTGAAACTCTAACTATGTTGGATCTATAGGCTATAGCAACCTGCACATACGGTAGGCTTGTATTTACCTTAATTTAAACATCAAAAGACGACATTTTACCTTATTTACTACATTAAGCCATGATTTTTGTACTTACGTTGGTAAATTGAATAACCGATAATATTAAGATGATTAATTATGATTTTGAGTATCATAAAATAATAAAAGAAAGTTGAAAATATCTGAAATATTAATGGCAGCCTGTGATTATTAATGCTTAAACTTTATATCACAGTTTAAACTTGGAATTTCTATGAAAAGCCGTAACGCCATGGAAACAAAATGGTGGGTACATTGAATTTTTGTTATATCATCGGTAGCATAAGGAGTTAGAGATGCCAGCTTTGATGTATATTAACATAATATAATGAATTACATTGTACGTTGTGACTGAACACTATGTCATTATCGAACATCATGTTAGTAGTGAACATCATAAGGATTTAACATCATATTAGTTCTGAACATTATGTTAGTATTGAACATTATGTTAGTATTGAACATTATGTTAGGATTGGACATTATGTTAGTATTAAACATCATGTAAGGATTGAATATCATGTTAGTATTAAACATCATGTTAGGATTGAACATCATGTTAGTATTAAACATCATGTTAGTATTAAACATCATGTTAGTATTAAACATCATGTTAGGATTGAACATCATGTAAGGATTGAACATCATGTAAGGATTGAACATCATGTAAGGATTGAACATCATTTAAGGATTGAACATCATGTAAGTAGTGAACATCACGTTAGTTCTGAAAATTATGTTAGTTCTGAAAATTATGTTAGTATTGAACGTCATGTAAGGATTGAACATCATGTTAAGATTGAACATCATGTAAGGATTGAACATCATGTAAGTAGTGAACATCATGCTAGTATTGAACATCACGTTAGTAAGTAGTGAACATTATGTTAGTATTGAACGTCATGTAAGGATTGAACATCATGTTAGGATTGAACATCATGTTAGGATTGAACATCATGTTAGGATTGAACACCGTGTTAGGATTGAACATCATGTTAGTATTAAACATCATGTTAGGATTGAACATCATGTAAGGATAGAACATCATGTTAGGATATGCATAATATTGTGATTTGACTTTAGGCTTTTATTGAATGTTTGAGATAAAGAGTGGTTTGTTAAAGTCATATTTTCTGTGGTATGTTCAATGAAGTTGAATAGTTTGAGAAGGATCTCTTTCGTGTGATCTTTTACAATTCTCTCACTGTATTGCAAGTTTTTGGCATACAAATCGCAGTTTCAAGCTGCAAACGTTCAGGCAGAGGTTTGACTTTATATCAAAATAAAAAACAATGGCTACAGAATGGTCATTTCAAGCATTAAGATTTCTGTCATCCTTGTAGCTTTGAGACCGTATTGTGAAATATGTTTGACTGTCGTAGTCTAGAATATCTTCTTTTTGGACAGTGCTTGATGGTAAGCTTAAAATGAGATAGGAAAGAGTATACGATAGCTGTTCATGTATTGTAGTTCCAGTTTTACCCGCTATATTAATCAATAAGATTAAATCGTCGTCAATATTTCTGGATGAATGAATAAAAATATTAAAAGTCTTTCTTTAAACAAAGATAGAAATTGTACCAGTTTATTGATCAGAATGAACCTTTTGTTTCTCTAACTTGTTTTTGTTACCGTACTGTCTCATTAGTTGTTTTAATATTTTATCAATAACGTCAGAATTGAAAAGAGGGTGGAATTCTTACTGTTATATTTTGAATAATAAAAAGGTATTTGACCTATGATGGTATGGACTTCGATACTCAGTCAGTACCTTAAGTTTGAGCCTTAAAGATGGGTTCCCTTATTTACATTTATGAAAATGAAAATGCTAATACTTATATGAATAGAAAGTAGAGGTGTTCTAATGACTTGGAAAAATACCAGTTTGTCTCACATGTCTATAATTAATTCATAATTAGCTAAATTAGAAGATAATTACCACCGAATTCCAATGAGCGACCTATCAAGAAAGGTCAAAAGTATTTTTTTGTTTATCCAGACTGTACATACAAGGACGTTTATGATTGGTTAAAAATTATATATAATAAGAACATAATGATATGATTAAGAATACACGATAATTTATAAGAAACACCAATTAATCAAATAGTTTGCTTAATTTGACTCTAAAAAATATGGAAACCCATCTTTATATATTTTGATTGATCTTATAGATATAATTTCGGTTGGTTTAATGGTTGCTAGATAATATTCTAAAGCGCTCCAAATTTTCTACTCAGTTCCAAAATTAAACAGTAGAACGTGAAAGGCTGATTAATAAAAATGGCGTTTCATCTTTTTTGAATTTGTTTTGGTATGTTTTATTTTTAGTTGTGTTCCCAATATCTTAGTTGTTAAAGTTGGTATATATAATAAAGAAATAACTGTTGGTCTTCGCAGTAAAATTGGGTTTGAACACGGCTATTCCTATGTCTATGTAAATGGATCTGGGACTCTGTACCTTCTTTTTGAATAATGACGATTAAAATTGATAAAAGCGTTGTCAAATTCAGTCACATCAGATGTTGTAGAAGAGTTAACATCCCTTGCCACGCTAGAAACACCCTACACAAAAGGTCTACTTAATTTAGTGGCTCTCAAATCCAATACAATTTTAGGACTGGGATTTGCCATCTTAAAATTAACGACGAGACACCATCAGTATGGTTGCCACACACACCCTGTTATAATTACAGTAAATATTGACAGTGTAGTACAATGTAATTTAAACTAAATATTGATTAGTTAATAATAGACTCAGATCGATTTCTAAAATCTCAACTAACTTTTATAATGTCTGAATATCACGAGAATTAATATCGTTACGTCGCCATTTTCAAAACATTCCAACATCTTTGATTATCAATTAATTATTTACATATTTCTTCAGTCAGAAATCTTAAATGGAATCTAAAATAATACACGTACTTTCTCCCTTTATGAAGACTGACAGTGTTGGTATGTGACGGAACACTTTGACAACACTCTTGTTTTTAAAGTGATGGGTTGCTCTTTGTGGGGTTTTTTCTACCTGCATGTTAAACTATTAAAGAATTTTGTAGCTCCATTCTATGCATGCTAAAGGTTTGTTTACAAGTCAATGCAGTCCAAACTATGCTAGGTATAATTACTCTCTAATTTGTATTCAGTGTGTAGCTGTTATCCCTTGGTAACAATGCCTAAGAACATTAGGACGTAAAACTCCACATCCTCTCATTTAATCTCATCCAAATTGATCATATAAAATATTACAATAACAAAATATTTTCTTTATAACATCTAGTTTTAATTCTGCTTATCTTGACATTTAAAAATTTACGAAATGAATCGGCATATTATCCCCACTATAATAATCCTGAATATGATAAGAAGAAGAGTCGACAGCATCTCAATCCCTTCAATATCTCGATCTGATTTATAGATTATAACCGACTGAATATAATCCCTATATACGATTGTTATCAATACTGTTAATTAGACCTTAACTAGTTATATCACCTAGTTATTATCAATCTAAACACCTGATGTCACTCTCCGTACATTGTAATATATGGTTAATCATCCTTACTCTTCATTAGCCCATAAACGTTGGAGGAAGAACAATATTTTATTCCATTCCATTTTTCATAATTATAATATTCAGTTAATCCTTCTATATTTCAGATGGAGAGAAGTTTTCGAACGCAGCAGTCCTCCAAAATTTCGCTGTTTAAATTACAAATTTGTTGATCATGTCCTCGACTGGTAAGTGAGATTTTTTTCTGTTTCTAAGACTATATATTTTATCTGCATAATACCTTCCAAGAGGGGAGATATTTCATGAATTATGAATTATTTATTGATTTACAAGAGGTTTTTTAGTAGATGTGTCAGTCATACCGAATAATTCTATCTCCAACATTTCAGCTTTCAGTCATTCCTAGATCGCAAAATTCATTTGGCTTGAATCGGATTTGGCATGGCTTGTCTATTATTCTGGTCAAGTTTGGATTTACAGGAACCGGTAAATTTACTGACTCAGTCCTATATCCCCACTTGAACCGCTACTATATTGTCGGGCTAACAAAGGTTGAAATGTATCCAAGTTTTCTCAAATTAATTTAAAACGTGTCAACAAATATTATATAAATATTAAATCTCCACATATTGAATAACCTTTCCTTTTATTTCAGATAAAAATGTCCGAGGTCAAAAACCTAGAAGCAAATGGGGAGCACCAAACGTCAACATCAGTGATGACGCCAAATCCGGATCAGAATCGCAACCAAAAAGAAAAAGTTTTAAACCAAAACAAGAACCTCTGAAATCTTCTGAGCCTTTTGATGGACAAACCGGAAACAAACGTGATTATGTAGAACATCCGATTGAACCTCGTAAACCCAAACCAAAGGATACCTACAAGCCTCCATCAGACAAATTCGAAGGTTCTAGCACAGCACGGAATGATTTTCGTGGTGAAGTTGTTCCGAAAAGAGCCAGTTTTAAACCTGAAAACAAACCCAACACATCGAGTGAGCCCTTCGATGGCGCCAGTACTGCGAACCAAGATTTTAAAGAACACCCTGTACAAAAAAGAGTTCCACGAAAACCCTCAGAATACAAAAGGCCAGAAGGAGCTGTTGATCACAATACCATCAATAAGGACACGTACAAGGAACATCCAGTCCAGAAACAAGTGGTCAAAAAGCCGGATTCTGCTAAAGCAATGAAAGGAGAGGGTCCAATGGAGAAGCAGACAAACCACATGAAAGATTATCCAGGATGGGAAGCCAGTCGACCCCAAAAACCCACAAGACCAGAATATACTCCACCACAAGAGAAAATGGACGACCAAACATCAAACAAAGTCGAATATCCCGCTCACAAAAGTCAAAAGCGAGAAGGTTTCAAACCGAAATCTGACGCCATGAAGTCGGATGATCCGTTCGATGGATATACTGGTTACAACGATACGTACAAAGAACACCCGATTCAGCCTAAACACCAACGGAAACAGGATGGGTACAAACCTCCGACGGAGTCGATGGATACTTCAACGTCAAACAGGAACGACTATCCAGAACACGAGTTGCAAAAGAGACAAAGCTATAAACCAAAAGGAGATGCCATAAAATCGGATGATCCGTTTGATGGTTACACTGGCTATAATGACACATACAAAGAGCATCCAATACAACCTCAACAGCAGCGGAAACAGGATGGGTACAAACCGCCGACAGAGTCGATGACCACATCTACGTCAAACAAGAACGACTACCCCGGCTACGAAGCGCAAAAACGAAAAAGCTTCAAACCGAATGGAGATGCTTTGAAATCGGATGATCCGTTCGATAGCTATACTGGTTATAACGATACGTACAAAGAGCATCCGATTCAGCCCAAACAGAAACGGAAACAGGATGGGTACAAACCACCGACAGAATCGATGGCTACGTCTACGTCCAACAAGAACGACTTTCCCGAACACCAAGCGCAAAAACGAAAAAGCTTCAAACCGAATGGAGATGCTTTGAAATCGGATGATCCATTCGATGGCTATACTGGTTACAACGATACGTACAAAGAGCATCCGATTCAGCCAAAACAGCAACGGAAACAGGATGGGTACAAACCACCGACAGAATCGATGGCTACGTCTACGTCCAACAAGAACGACTTTCCCGAACACCAAGCGCAAAAACGAAAAAGCTTCAAACCGAATGGAGATGCTTTGAAATCGGATGACCCGTTCGATGGCTATACTGGTTACAACGATACGTACAAAGAGCATCCGATTCAGCCCAAACAGAAACGGAAACAGGATGGGTACAAACCGCCGACAGAGTCGATGGCTACGTCTACGTCCAATAAGAACGACTATCCCGAACACCCAGCTCAAAAACGACAAAGCTTCAAACCGAATGGAGATGCTTTGAAATCGGATGATCCGTTCGATGGCTATACTGGTTATAACGATACGTACAAAGAACATCCGATTCAACCGAAACAGCAAAGGAAACAGGATGGGTATCAACCTCCAACAGAATCGATGGCTACGTCAACGTCCAACAAGAACGACTTTCCCGAACACCCAGCTCAAAAACGGCAAAGCTTCAAACCGAATGGAGATGCTTTGAAATCGGACGATCCGTTCGATGGCTATACTGGTTACAAAGATACGTACAAAGAGCATCCGATTCAGCCCAAACAGAAACGGAAACAGGATGGGTACAAACCGCCGACAGAGTCAATGGCTACGTCTACGTCCAACAAGAACGACTTTCCCGAACACCCAGCTCAAAAACGGCAAAGCTTCAAACCGAATGGAGATGCTTTGAAATCGGATGATCCGTTCGATGGCTATACTGGTTATAACGATACGTACAAAGAACATCCGATTCAACCGAAACAGCAACGGAAGCGGGATGGGTACCAACCACCGACGGAATCGATGGCTACTTCAACGTCTAATAAGAACGACTATCCCGAACACCAAGCACAAAAGCGACAAAGCTTCAAACCGAATGGAGATGCTTTGAAATCGGATGATCCGTTCGATGGCTATACTGGTTATAACGATACGTACAAAGAACATCCGATTCAACCGAAACAGCAAAGGAAACAGGATGGGTATCAACCTCCAACAGAATCGATGGCTACGTCAACGTCCAACAAGAACGACTTTCCCGAACACCCAGCTCAAAAACGGCAAAGCTTCAAACCGAATGGAGATGCTTTGAAATCGGATGATCCGTTCGATGGCTATACTGGTTATAACGATACGTACAAAGAACATCCGATTCAACCGAAACAGCAACGGAAGCGGGATGGGTACCAACCACCGACGGAATCGATGGCTACTTCAACGTCTAATAAGAACGACTATCCCGAACATCAAGCACAAAAGCGACAAAGCTTCAAACCGAATGGAGATGCGTTGAAATCGGATGATCCGTTCGATGGATACACTGGTTACAACGATACGTACAGAGAGCATCCGATTCAGCCGAAACAGCAACGGAAACGGGATGGGTACCAACCTCCGACGGAATCGATGGCTACGTCAACGTCCAACAAGAACGACTTTCCCGAACACCAGGCACAAAAGCGACAAAGCTTCAAACCGAATGGAGATTCTTTGAAATCGGATGATCCGTTCGATGGATACACTGGTTACAACGATACATACAGAGAGCATCCGATCCAGCCGAAACTCCAACAGAAACGAGATGGGTACCAACCACCCACTGAATCGATGGCTACGTCAACGTCCAACAAGAACGACTTTCCCGAACACCAGACACAAAAGCGACAAAGCTTCAAACCGAATGGAGATGCTTTGAAATCGGATGATCCGTTCGATGGATACACTGGTTACAACGATACATACAGAGAGCATCCGATCCAGCCGAAACACCAACGGAAACGGGATGGGTACCAACCACCCACTGAATCGATGGCTACGTCAACGTCCAACAAGAACGACTTTCCCGAACACCAGACACAAAAGCGACAAAGCTTCAAACCGAATGGAGATGCTTTGAAATCGGATGATCCGTTCGATGGATACACTGGTTACAACGATACATACAGAGAGCATCCGATCCAGCCGAAACAGCAATGGAAACGGGATGGGTACCAACCACCCACTGAATCGATGGCTACGTCAACGTCCAACAAGAACGACTTTCCCGAACACCAGGCACAAAAGCGACAAAGCTTCAAACCGAATGGAGATGCTTTGAAATCGGATGATCCGTTCGATGGATACACTGGTTACAACGATACATACAGAGAGCATCCGATCCAGCCGAAACAGCAACGGAAACGGGATGGGTACCAACCACCGACGGAACCGATGGCTACGTCAACGTCTAATAAGAACGACTATCCCGAACACCAAGCACAAAAGCGACAAAGCTTCAAACCGAATGGAGATGCTTTGAAATCGGATGATCCGTTCGATGGCTATACTGGTTACAACGATACGTACAGAGAGCATCAAATTCAACCGAAACAGCAACGGAAACGGGACGGGTACCAACCACCGACGGAATCGATGGCTACATCAACGTCTAATAAGAACGACTATCCCGAACACCAAGCACAAAAGCGACAAAGCTTCAAACCGCGTGGAGATGCTTTGAAATCGGATGATCCGTTCGATGGCTATACTGGTTACAACGATACGTATAGAGAGCATCAAATTCAACCAAAACAGCAACGGAAACGGGATGGGTACCAACCACCGACGGAGTCGATGGCTACTTCAACGTCTAATAAGAACGACTATCCCGAACATCAAGCACAAAAGCGACAAAGCTTCAAACCGAATGGAGATGCTTTGAAATCGGATGATCCGTTCGATGGGTACACTGGTTACAACGATACATACAGAGAACATCAGATACAACCAAAACAAAAAAGAAAACGAGATGAGTACCAACCACCAACGGAATCGATGCAAACCAGCACTACTAATAGAGACACATTTCACGAAAATCCCCTGTCAAAGCGACAAAGCTGCAAAAGGGACACAGAACCATTTTCTTCAAATGCTCCTTTCGATGGTTCTACCACCTTTAGCAAAGACTTTCAACAATGGGAACCTGATAGACCCACATTGAAACGACACCAAGAAAATCTAAAACTTGAGGGCGAAATGGATTTGAATACCATCAATAAGCAGGCGTTTAAAGGGGACCTAGTAAGCAGACCTACCATCAAAAAACAGGGTTCCTCTCAAGCCTTGGCTGGTGATGGCACCTTTTATGGAGAGGCGGCATATGGGAGCAGTTACAAGCAGCACGATGTTGTTCCCCGGGTGAAACCGATGAAAGATGCGTATGTCCCACCAGAAGGAAAATTTTATGCAGAAACAACGAACCATGCAGATTTTATGGAACAACCCTACTCGAAACGGAATAAATATATTCCCCCAGACACCACCTTAAAATCCCACGATCCGTTCGCACCGGCCACTGGATATCAGGAAACGTTCATCGAACACCAGGCTGCAGCTAGAGTCCGGAGAGAAAAAGAGAAGTACATCCCACCTACAATACCTTTAGAGACAGAAACAACTAGTCATGGCGCCTTTAAAGAGGTCACTGCAACAAAACGATCGGGATACGGACCTTCAAAAGAAGCTTTTCGCTCTGTCGAGCCTTTCTCTGGAAGTACTACAGCTAAAGATTCTTTCAAAGAATACAATGTACAGAAACAACCTCTGAAACGCCAAGATACTTATGTCAAATCCTCCGAACCCATGGATCTACAAACCACGTCTAAATCTTCTTTCAAGGGCGATTACATCCCAAGGAGAAGCATTACCAGGCCCAGATCGTCCAATACGCTTAAGTATGATGGAAAATTCACCACTGAAACGAGTTACAGGGGATGCTTCACCCAAAGAGACTTGCCAGAGAAAACAACTTTTATTAAAGCAACATACGAGCCACCGACGGTGAAATTTGATGGTCAAACAACAAACCGAGCAGATTTCGGAGCCAATCAACCTACAGCGAGAACTACGAGTTACAAAGCGACGGATTCGTGGCTGAGGAGCAGTGCTCCAATGATAATGAGCTCCAGCTATAAAGATAGTTTCACCGAGGTCAAGCCCGCGCCTCGATCCAGAAGAGAACAAGAACCATATGTGCCTTCTTCGGTAAAATTCGAAGGTATGTCTACATTCAAAAGCGATTTTATTGGTCGCGAAGGAAAGAAGCGGGACAGTTACCGTCCTCCAAAAGTTGCGTTTCAATCGAACGTTCCGTTTGATGGCACCACTACAGCCTCGTGCGATTTTAAAGGGTCCTGGGAAACCACAAGACCCCAGAGAGTAAGACCAAATACGGAGAGCTTCATGCAAATCGATGCCAAGATGAATTCCAGTTCAACTTACCGTGGTGATTTCGAATCCAGTAAAACAGTATCGTGGAAGAGTCCACCTACTCTACTAGGTATGGCGTAGGTAGCCTTATTTAAACTGTTTGGATTTTCTACAAATTTCTCTTGATCATAGTCTATAAATTTCTCGGAAACTTTGGCATCATCCTACGTGACTAAGCATGGCTAGGGAAAGAAGTGACAAAATTATTCTTGAAAGCATTGCACGTTATTCAATTATCTCTTAATCATTATGGAAATGGGCATCAATTTGGCATTATTTAACTGCATTGTTCTGACTTCATCCGCTTGAGGTAAGCTTGTAACGGTTAAAGAGAGATAACTCTATTTAAGGCATTAGACAACAAAGGATTTGTTTCTGTTCCGTTCATTGAAGTGCTTTTTGAGAAATATGTTAAGAATCTATGGTTTATATTTTGAGTATTTTAATCAAAATGATTGATAATTAAACTGCTGATATCCTGCTATTGTTTTATGAATTCAGTATTTAGTGAAATTTTATGATTTAATTGTAATTTCAAATTTAAGTTCATTAATGATCAGTTAACATTATTTAATTAAGTTTAAATGTGATTTCAAAATCATTTTCCAAATTTTATCTGCTTTTATACATCTAAGATAAAATAAATTCTAATCCGTCCAACATATAATACGATGCATCTGCCAATGCTTTCGGTTTGTTATCTAGTATAGATTTCAGTCCATTATTTTACTATTCCGTCCAACAAAAAATATAATTCCGAGGCCAATGCTTTCGATGTGTTATGAATTTGATATAGATATTATAGAGCCTTTATATTTATATAATATTTTATTACAATGATAATATGAGTTTAGATATTTGTCGGAGTTAAATGGAATCGCATTCAAATATTCTTCTTGTAACTTTCGATATTTTAACTTTCATAAGAAGAATGTTTGATATATTTTTTACAATTGTTTCGTCTTCATTCGTTTCAAGATATTTATCTGGTGATTAAGTTATATATTATTGTGATATAGTCAGTGTAGTTATAATACCACTGATAAGGACTGTGTAAATTATGATATTAGATAATAGAAATTGTACTTAAGTGACATTATTTGTAATCTAGTTATTTATTTGGCCACAAGCGTTCGAACCCCACTTGGTCACAGGCGTTCGAGATCCAGGGGCTAATTTAGGATCCGGTGATCTGTTACAGAGAGAACATTATAAATTTGTTAGTTTTTCAAAAATTACACCAGGTTTCTCGCTTATAAATATGTTCTTTAGTTGTTCACATGGAAAAGGGACACACCTTATTTATTAATTACGGATGAAATGCTCACTTCGGGCCTTGTTTTTTAGATATCATCATTAATTTAATGTGCGTATTACTATGTAAATTTTTGCCTTTTTGGAGGTGAGCTGATAATTCTGTGATAATGTAAATAAACACACCTATCGATATTTCTCGGTGCCTTGACTATAGGAACACTGTTATTTATTTTAAATATTTATATATATTGTATCTAGTTTTAAATAATGTATATTTTGATTCCTTTCGTGCATGTTTTAAATTAGAATTGGAAAATATTATAATTGAAATAAAGCATAACGTTTATAAAAATATAAACTGTTAATATAGTTTCAAATTCTGTATATATTTTTGCTCCTTTTGTATTATATGTTTCAAAATTTAAAAACAATTATGATTGAAATTAAAATTGTGTTTGATTTCCTATTGTAAAATTCCCATACCTGATCCATTGAGACCACAGGATAATTATGTGGGTACATGGAATATGACAGGTTGGATATAAGGTTGCGAACTCTGTACAGATGGGAATCCGAAACAAGGCTTAGCAAACCATGCGTTATAAACAATATGTGGACTGAAACATCTGCCTCTATTCTATCCTCTGATAGCTGTTTTGACAGAGTGACATCAGATGTAAAGATGGAATATCTTCTTTCTATTCTGACCACAGACAACATCCATTCTACAAAGCATCGTCCTTTCATTCTAGATATTTAAGGCGTGGTTTAGAGCTATGCAGACTTGGGTTATTAAATGAAGACCAAACTTTAGAGGTGTCTTTTTGTGAATAAAGTATTAAAAATCTCCCCAGATCCACTGACCGTCATGCCTGTTTAAGCGTTACGGCGCTGCGGCCTTGTCATCAACGACGGTTGGGATTATTTAGTGATTCGGTCAAGTTCGAAGGCATTGAGTATATCTTGGTATCACGAATTATCTAGCTAGCGTACAGTCCAATTTCATTAATACACCGATCTTGTGCTACAAGAAAAGTGCCAAATGATGTCAAAGTATAAGATGGAGTTCGTCAGAGCAAGTCATTTTTTACAAAGTCGGTATCATATAACCACACCCGTGATCGCAACCTACGAACTTGTTAATTACTTCTATTTTGTGTATTTCTTGAGTGTACTAACGAGAAAGAGTAGGTTAAAGAATGATAAACAATAAAAAAACATTGACCGTAAACTTTTGACCCATAGTTAGAATAGCTGACAGCTGTTTTACTCGTGTTAGACTAGTATGCATGTTGGGTGGGTGTTGAATGCCCTATATATACGATACGTTAGATAGTCATCGGATTAGCGGATCTGAATGAGGGTGATAACAAAATAATGATTTAAGTCACTACTTGCAAAATAAAACTCGAAAGATGAATACAAATTTATTAAAGATGCATACAAATCTATAAAGGATGCATACAAATCTATAAAAGATACATACAAGTCTATTAAAGATGCATACAAATCTATTGAAGATGCATATAAATCTATAAAAGATGTATACAAATCTATCAAAGGATGCATACAAATCTATTAAAGATGCATACAAATCTATAAAGATGCATACAAATCAATTAAAGATGCATACAAATCTATTAAAGATGCATACAAATCTATTAAAGATGCATACAAATCTATTAAAGATGCATACAAATCTATTAAAGATGCATACAAATCAATTAAAGATGCATACAAATCTATTAAAGATGTATACAAATCTATTAAAGATGTATACAAATCTATTAAAGATGTATACAAATCTATTAAAGGTGCATACAAATCTATTAAAGGTGCATACAAATCTATTAAAGGTGCATACAAATCTATTAAAGATGCATACAAATCTATTAAAGATACATACAAATCTATTAAAGATGCATACAAATCTATTAAAGATGCATACAAATCAATTAATGATGCATACAAATCAATTAAAGATGCATACAAATCTATTAAAGATGCATACAAATCTATTGAAGATGCATACAAATCTATAAAAGATGCATACAAATCTATCAAAGATGCATACAAATCTATTAAAGATGCATACAAATCTATTAATGATACATACAAATCTATTAAAGATGCATACAAATCTATTAAAGATACATACAAATCTATTAAAGATGCATACAAATCTATTAAAGATGCATACAAATCTATTAAAGATGCATACAAATCAATTAAAGATACATACAAATCTATTAAAGATACATACAAATCAATTAAAGATGCATACAAATCTATTAAAGATACATACAAATCTATTAAAGATGCATACAAATCTATTAAAGATACACACAAATCTATTAAAGATGCATACAAATCTATTAAAGATACATACAAATCTATTAAAGATACATACGAAACTATTAAAGATGCATACAATGTCCATTCATTCAAGTTTCTGTCCGTCAATCAAAACTCCGCAGCTCGTCTATTAATGATAAATTGGACACAGAAGGTCGACATAATACGATTCATATTGACAAAGATATTTTGCATAACATCATACCAAAGCCTATTAGAAACGAGGAATGATTCACCAAACGCTTCTATGAGTCAGAATTTAGAAACATTATTAGATTTAAAAGTTTAAAACACCTTGGATATGGTGGGCAAATTAAACACAAGACGGCGAGAAGGCATTTCGTACTATCCCAGGCTATATGTGTGAACGGCACTAAGGCAGATTGTACTAACCGTGACTATATTCATATCTGAGTTCAAAATCTGGGCGACGTGAGATAGTTTTATATAAACATTCATATGAATAAAATTCAGTTTTCTATAGGATAATATTCAATCTATACAAACGTATAAGGATATTGACATGGAATTACATGAAGTTTTACACCCTACTGCCCTGCACAGTATTTAACTAATGAAATAAAGAGGAACTTACATTAAGTCCTACTGTTTTCTAAGAGGACTAATACAATGAAAAGTGTTTGAAGTGGTTTATTCGTACAGTAGATGTTATGTTTCTAATGGAATAAAACGAACGTTGACATCCAACTGTTCTGTATCCTAGTGGGTTTATGAAGACTGGACGGATGTTGTAAGTTTCAGTGGTTGTGAAACGGGCACCTGTCTCAGTACAGATCAGATAAAGCTTTTTGTGTTTTGTGTTTTGCTATCATTAGCCGTTTATATACTGTATATACCATAACTTAATTGTATTGATTGAAATAACAAAAAAACTAAACGAAATCGGGCACCTTTCTCAGTACAGATCAGATAAAGCTTTTTGTGTTTTGTGTTTTGCTATCATTAGCCGTTTATATACTGTATATACCATAACTTAATTGTATTGATTGAAATAACAAAAAAACTAAACGAAATCTGTAGAACTACATGCAGTTTGATTAATTAAATAAATATGAAAGGATAGAAAAGGGGAGTATTGATGGAGAAGTACGTAAATACAGCCGAATGCTTTCAAGATCAAGCATCTTAGGGTTTCTGTTTTTCCCAAACAGAATAAATTGTGCTCTGTGACCGAATCTAGTTTTTTCATCGTTATTCGCCTATACGCCTAGATACCGAACATCAAATAAAAGCCCAACGTTAGAGGCCAATAGTTAATGGTTATACTTCGTAATAGAGCAATAAGTATAGTGGACTAATAGACATCAAAACAAACTGTTTATTCCATCAGACTAATTGTCTGAAGATTTGCCTGTACGGAAATACAGGTCTATATAATTAACACCTAAGGACAAACGGTTTAAATTGAAACTATGCAACATAGATGTTTGGACAGAAGAAGGAAACTGACAACTCCTTGAAGTTGATCTTAAATTCGTTATAGGTACGTACGAATTAATAATTATTCATCATTACATAATATTTTAATAATTTATGTTTAATGTCATCCATTTTAAAAAGTAGTCCGAATGTAAAAGAGTCCCTGTAAAATTTGGAAAATTGGAAAATTCATAAAACTAAGTAATTATTGAAAAACGCTTAATCTTAATATCAAGCGTTTTTCAATAGTTAATTGCATATTTATGGATAATTACTAGTTTTTTGGATTTATCGGATTATATAAGGATCCTGTTGTGTTATTTATGACACCAGGTATATCTACTGATGAATGTACGCTCTTATTGACCAAGATTAAAATTCCTAAATTTTATGTTCATTCGAAGACGTAGTATTCCTTTTATTTAAACTGTCTTCTGGCAATCTGATTGACACGTACATCTGAATGTTTGTTTCGTGTTTTTTCTGTGGGTCAATCCACATGCCATCCATGATCTGAAGAAATTGTTATGCTTCTTCTGTTCTGGGCCATTTTATATTCAACCAATCAAATGCCGCTTTTTGAAAGATTTCCTTACTGATCGTGAAAAATTCTGCGATATTCGTTAATAAACATTGACTTGTATTATCAAACCACTCTTAATAGTTGAATAGTGTATTACGAGCATGATAATTCTTTTCCAGCTTAATGACCAAAATACATAGATTTGAAAATCGTTAGCAAGTTTCGGACTATATTAGCCTACTCATGTATTAAATATTGTGTGCCCCGTAATTTAGGTTCATTATTATAAAGATTATTGTGGGTTCACAGAGGTTTGAACTTGTGACGTCATATATCATTGGATCTATCTTAGAGGAAATATATCTTGGTTTCATTCTGTCAGAAATTCTATTTTCGGGGTAGGTTACCTGTGAAACTGGATACAAAATGCGTCAGTATAAAAACACTTAAGACTGTGTCCTTTTTAAAGGGAAGGTAAAGAGGTTTTCTGCATGTTTTATGTGTATCTTGGACATTGATAGCTTCAATTTGCACCATTCTGATTTTCAATCAGACGTCTGTGGGTCCTGCAATTCCACTACAGTCAGGTGTGATGACGTCACTAATTGCGAAAGGCTTTATGTCATAAAAAGGCCTCGACGATTAGTGACGTTATACAACACTTAGTTTTAGTGGAATTGCAGGAGTCACAGACGTCTGATTGACAATTGGAATGTCGCAAATTGGTGCTACCAGTGTCCCCGATACACATAAAATTTTTAGAAAATCTCTTTACAATCCCTTTTAGGGGAGTATATAAGGCCTATAATTATAATGGTGGTACGATAATAAGTACTGTATGATATACTCATATATATTCATAATGTATGATGAAAACTAATGTAAACAAGCCATATATTATAATCTTTTATAAATCTACCTGTATTTTAGGTGCAATAAGTGACTCAGTCATGGCTAATAACAGTCAAATCAGGTAAATTTTAGTATTAATTACATATTCGTATATTCGGGAATGAAATGACTGGAGTTTTACGTCCTACTTTTCTGCACCATGGGGGCGAATGAAGACAGGGAATGAAGACAGGCAATGAGGGAAATTTTGCCATGACAGTGGCATTAGCCTGCTCTTTTTCGATTTCCAACCGTTGAGAGATCTATAGCATGCACAGCCTGTATCACACAGGACTTCGGTAAACACAATCGGTGCCGCGGTAGCTTTGCGTTGTCCGTATTCATTAGATCATAAGGTGCGTGTAGAAAACAAGGACGTAAAACTCCATTCATTTTATTCAATCAGGTTCAAAACTAAGACACAAGACATAGATTGTAGATATCACATAGCAATCGAGAGCACAATCAGTCAGACTGAACAAAAGAGAAAAACCTCGCCACTTAGGTCTGTTTGGAATGGCCCTATTCGGTAACATATTAGTCACCTTCACAATGTCAAGCTATTACGAACTTCGACTTATACCTTGACAGCAATAGCCACTATTTTTGTATTACAGAATGCAGCGATTTGTTTCGATAGTACGCTACCGAACATGGCCAATCAGTGGCCTCGAAAACAAACAATTTGTCTGTACGTGTAATCGAATCAAATCCCTGTATATCAAGGTATTAGAGTTTGGAATTGTGAAGATTCTAACTATATTACTCTGTTTTCAGTAATGGAAGTGGCGATGACGTCATAGACAACTGTAATAATGACTTTCCTTATTCAGATTTCTACCTGGAACGTAAGTATTTTGTTTTAAAACATACAAAAGGCGTTTCTAGGACATGTTTGTGTATGAAGGATGCTTAGATTTTGTACTTCCACCATTCCAGTTCCATATATTAGCCTATATTAATATAATATATATTATTTAAAGAGATTGTGTAGAGGTTTTCTGAACGTTTTAATTTTTTGGAGGATACTAAAGGCATCGATTTGAACGATACACATGACCTTTCCACCCTGTCTTCATTAACCCAAATAAGCTACGAATAGTAGGGCGTAAAACTTCGATTCATTCCATTATCAGTAGGGCATAAAAATGTTATCATTAATCTGTATGTTTCAGATCTGAACGTTGTAGAAAAGGTATTTATAGCGGCTGGTGGAGTTCTTACCCTAATAACTTTGTGTATATTTCTATATGAACTACGATGGATCTGGTTTACTAGACATTATAATAATGTTCTTTATATTATCATCTGGCTACTGGGGCTCTATCCTGTGAGTATAAATAGGGTTTCTGTGGGGTGAGGCTAGGGGCTACGAGTCCTAACCATGTCTATTGCAATGACTGTCGAGAGTTTCGTCTTCATTGTGTCTCCATAGTAACAGACAAGTTATTACCACAGTCCCGTTCCAATGACGTGTTTTTCTTACTACTTAAAAGCCTGTCATGTTGTGAAATAACGAAACACAAAAAGCTGCCATATTGTTCTACTTTGGGTTTCGCTGTCCACTAATTCGCCTTGTTTTAATGTGCTATCTTGCTATTGAGACATGTACATATATTAGGGATAGGCCTACCATTGCTATTTCACTATCTATCTATTGCAGATGGCCAGTTTTTGTTCCATGATCGCCACCTTGGCTCCAAGAACAGTTTTATTCTGCGAGTTTGTCGCAGCAGCGTAAGTAGATCAGTAGCTTCGCCTTCGGTCCCACTGATCTGGCCCCACTGATCTGGCCCAACCCAATTTCTCAGACGCAATATACCCAGATGATATCATCAAGTGAATATATCACAGTACGTCTGAAGAAGTTGGTAGGATCATATCATACAGCCATTCCTCGCCTGTCTTACCTTCCGTTTTAAGGATTTAATGAGTCCGATGACTGTTTCGATTCAGCACTTCGTGACACCTCTCTGCTGATGATGGTGTAATTCTTGCCTCTTCATTCGTATTTCATTCAGTCTTTAGCCGATTTTATTCATCCCTGAGTAACTAACAGGGCGTAAGGCTACAGGAGCCTCAATGTAATCGTGTCTGGGGTTATTATGTCGATTTTGACTTACGTTTTTTTCTTGTGCCACCATTCCCATTTATTTTTAAACATCTTTCAATTCAGTTATTTGGGTATCTGTTTGTATAAATTTGTTGGGCTGATTGTTACGTATTATGGTGGTCTGGATCAAATGGTTGTCAAGAAAACCGGAAGTGTCATAGCATTACGATCTCCACCATTAGCCTGTTGTTGTTGCTGCTGTCCTTCTGTAGAACCCACCAAGTAAGTTGTGTTTTAGAAATAATTAGGTGGGGCCAAATAAATGTCCCTTGGGGCTAACTGGCAACTCTTTCCCTATGTAAATTTATAAGAAATTTGAAAGTGGTTTTAGTGCTTTTAGCGCACCGAAGACAATCGCAGTTGCCATCAGTTTGTCTTAATCTGTGAGAATCCAGTTGATAACTGTATAAGAGTGGCGCTCCTGTCAGTCTTGACGGTCAAATGTGATGCTCTGGATATTGTCAATCGATCTTCTGAGAAACATGTCACAAAGTCTATTACTTTGCAATAAAAAAAGAGACAAGGCCATGTGGTCGTTTTCTATTCAAACCTTTTTCTTTTTCAGGCAGAATTTAGTAAGAATGCAGTATTTAGTGTTACAGTGTGCCATGGTTAAACCACCATTGATGTTTATAGCTACTATCTTATGGACAGAAAACCTCTACTCTAAATCGGTAAGTACGATATTTTAAGTGTAGACTCGATGGGCGTGTGTGTGGTGTGTAAAGGGGGGCGGGGGGGGGGGGGGGGGGGGGGGATT